AAATCACCTAAACCGAAATAAAACAATGGTTCTATTTCTAATTCCTGACGTGTACACGTGAAACACATATAACGTGTGTTGTGGTTGAAATTTAGGAGAATCATTTCTCGAACAAAACGATAATGCCAATTGGTATAAAGATTATCACTCATCAATCAAAAGTCCCAGTATAATTTCCTTGAACGATCAGAACTTAGTGTGTGGATAATATAAATGCATACTTCAATACATGTGCAGACAATCGGCAATAAGAACAACACTGGTTGACTAAAATTGAAATAAGGTGATAGATAATATTAATAATATACCTTTAAATAAAAGTTAAATAAAGTTATGAATGATGCGCTGATAAGTAACTATTTCAAAAATTAGGTTCAACGTCGAAGAAAATGATATTAAATCATGCCAGACAGTTTCATTTTGCTCGTTCACCAATTTAAGGTTATTGAGTTGGGTTGAATGTATAACGAACCACGCTCTATTTTATTGAAGGTGGGGTATTAAAAAAACGTTTTATGGTCGGCGTCGCTGTAGAGATTTTCAATAAAGTAGTTAACGTCTCGTGACTCTTCACTCGTCACCGTTTCCAGGTTAATGCTATTGGCCTCATGGTCACATTAAGTGTAGTTTCAAGCACACGTCTAGAAAGTTTACTAATAATGTAGTGAAGTGTGTCTCTGTCCATCCAAGTGTTTTGTTTTATAAATCACCTATTTTTGTTATGCAAGCTTCACGAAAGTGAAGTATGTCCAATAGTCTGTTTTGTAAATAGTGTAACAGTAAGGAGTTATGAAATTACGTCTCATTGATAATTTCGTTATATGTGGTCGGCGATCATCTTTGTTTAGTGAGAAGTGAACTTAATAATTAATGTAATTTTAAAACGCGGCTTGAGCCCGAGGGTTTTTTGTTTGTTATTTCTATTCCCTATCATAGGTTTATGTTATCCCGTTTTCGTTGTTCTTCTCATTGTCTTAGGAGAGAAACCGACAGGGAAAATGATATCCCAAGAGATGAACGCCTTTGCCCACTTTGTGAAAACGTAGAAATTGGAGATGAATTACAATTGTTGTTGATTTGTCACTTCTTTGATGAATTTAAGAAAACATACATCCTTAGATATTATTTTACCCCGCCCTCATATGAGAAGTTTTTAACCTTGTTATTGACTGAAGACAGAAATGAATTGAAATCTCTTGCAGCCTTTTTTTTACTTTATATTATATCTATAGTTTATGTATTTTGGGCCACAGGCCTTTGATTGCAATAAAGACCATCCTATATTGAAAATGAAAATAGTTGTAATTTTTATTTTTGAATTTGGTATAAACCTCGGTGGAAATGTTATATACTATTTTATTATGTATTCAAAGTAGTTAATGCACGTTAACAACTCGGGTGAGTCATGCTGTTTTTCCAACTGTTTGTGACTACTAATCGACTACAATATATTCTGTATACATCTTCTAGCATGATCGTTGAGAAAGACTAACCGAACAAATGAGCAACATTTAGTGCCGTATCGCCTAGTGAATGTCATGGTATGACTTAGTATCTACTTTTGAAAACGTTTTTCTTCATACATAAAAGTTAAGTAGTAGTCGTTCCACACAAAACAATGTATCCTATTACAATGTTAAATCTAACTTTCTTTCCAATGTTAAACAGTGTTTTTCAATCTTTTTTTCCATAAATGACAATACATTCGTATCCGTAGTCCAATAGTACAGATTACACGGTTAACATAATAATTAACAACGTTGTGTCATCTGGGGAAGGTTATTGTTTAGCAAAACTGTTTTTGGTTCTGCATATTATATCTGGGCCAATTTTAGCTAAATGTGCTACATTTAAAATAACTAGATTTTTATTTCTCAGCAAAAAATAACATTTAAACGAACAAAATCAAGTTATACACTGCAATTTAAGAGCACTTGTAACAAGGTGCGCGGCATTTATATTGATTTTACAGTATATTATACTTGTTATATGTGTGGTTGTGCGACTACTTGGACACAATCAACACAGATGGGGTACGTTGGCCTAGCATATAATACCAATAATAGGGGATTCATTTTCGAGTGATCAAACTATATGTTTTACACCCTACATATTATGAAGCGTTTTCATTAAATTTACAAAAAAGTTGGCTTAATATTGGTAAAAGCCAGATTCCTACAACTCTTTTATTACTCATAAGTCTCGTGGTTATTTCGTAGTTCAGTGACAACATACTAAATTTACGTCGTTGTCGGTCATTTTGAATTTACACTATTCAGTCACTCATTTTGTAGCAGGTAATCAGGGGAACACGGGCAGATGACTTAGAAGATCTGGACTGTGCGGATAAGATTTGACTTCTCGCTTATCCATATTAAGATATTCAACATATTGCAACACACTCTAATATGATTGGTCTACACAAATCAAGACCAAGATTCCAGGTTGAATTATTACAATTATCTCAGTTTGTTTCAACTGGTAGAGGTGTCGGTTCTGAAATGTTTGACAGAATCAACAAGAAAGGACAGTTAGTTTCCTTCCTCCAAATTATATGCAGAAAGAACAGTGGAAGGCTCTGATGGATGATGTTATTCTATTTAGTCCACTGTATAATCACTATGAATTGTACAAATATATTGTTGCTTGTCTGCGGCTACTAATACTTGATACCAGTTTCTGCTATTTTTTCGAATTGAGTATGGTGATTCCAATAGAGATATCAGTATGCACACAGATAATAAATAAATATGCATCTGATTTGCATTTTCTGTGCCTGCAA